TGTTTGGTTTCCTGGGTTACTTATAAACGTATCAGTTTTAGAGATTACCCTGCTAAAAAGGGTCTTTGTCTCATTTATAAATAATATGGCTTGAGGAAATTGCTTGAATGTCATAATGAGGCAGAAGAAATAAATCTACTAAGCACTACAGTGTGCTATACATTTTCAAACAAATTATTTCAAAGACAGTGTGGCAGGTAGAGTGGAATTTCAACTTGCTTAGCTTTGAAATCTACCCTAGCAATTGGTGGAGCATATTTCTAGGTGCATGTGAGTTGATCGTGGAGGTATGGTATTGGGGTCTATGCCACGTCCTTCCCCTTCTACTTAGCACTATTCTACTCTGCTTCCTGGCTGCCATGAAATAAGCAGCTGTGCTCAAATACATCTTTCCATTCTGATGCCTCTGCTTTAAAGCCACCAAAGTGCGGACTGAAACTGTGAGCAAATTCAACCTCTCGTCTTTTTTTTTAATTTAAGGAGAAAAAGAAAAAAAGCAGAGAAAAGGTACATGTTATACAGATTTACAGAAAAAATAAACAGTGGGAAATGACTAGTTAATGGATTACATATTGTCATCTTAGAAATAATTGTTCAAGTTACAAAATTAAAGCTTATAAAGTGGACTTTCAAACAGTGAGACTGCAAACAGTTCTGTTCAATGATCCAACAAAACTCAGTGATATCATTATCTATCTTATACACTTAAATATACATACAGTTATATTGTTTAGAGCACTTTCTTTTCCTCTCTTTTATACTGTGACAATTACACATTTTGGGTTTTGTTGCTCCCACAGTTCTTATTACTTTTTTGGAAGAGAGTAGAACCAAATGTGACATAACAGAACACAGTCAATCAAATCAAAAGGGTGGACATAATAGATAACGTAAAAGCATAATACAAGGTGATCAACAATGGTTACCATAATGCCTCCCACTATCTCTAATAGAATTGCCTATATCATCAGTTATAATAAAATTGAACAAAACAGTAAAGAACAAAACCAACAAAACCAAAACATTGCAGACATTACAGGTCTTCAAAAGTAGATGATAGTCAACCAGAATGGGCGTCATAATGAATCCCACTGTCTTCACAGCTTTTGCCTAAACTTTTGAACCTGGTACTATCAAGCAAAACAGAATAGAGGAACATCAGTCAAAACAAGATGGTGAGAGCAATATAGGGCTTTAAATCAAGATAATGGAAAGTCAAAATGGGTTACTATAATATATCCTGCTATTTTTTATTTATTTTTCCCTTAATTAAAAGGATAAAAATAAAAAAGTGAATAATAAAATGGAGATTGAGATAAAAGAGGGCATAACAGCAAAACAGCGCAGATCAAAACATAACCATTTAAGCAAAATAGTGTTTCACCACAAGATAATCCCGACATAAAAGTAGTTACCATATTGTCTCTTTCCTTGAAATCTTTGAGTATAACTTCGTATACTGTAGCATCAAATATATCAAAACAGTGTAAAACCATTTAAGAGTATGACAGTATTACAGGATATTTAGAATCAACTAACAGAAAATGAACAGTGGTTTCTGTATAATCTCCTTGTCTATAAAAGTTTTTGCTTATACTATCATACATAATAAAATCCAATAAGATACAACCTGTTTAGACCAATGAAGACAGAAGAACAAAAGCTTGATGAGACTTCAAACAATGATGATACTAAATCAGTATTACCTATTAAGACATTATTTTCTCCAAAATAGGTGTTCCTATCATCCAATCTTCTCTGCTTCATTTCTGTTGAGCTCTTTTTCTGTCATTAGTTGTCAGTTTGTCTTCTTCATTTTGTTTTCTGCTCCATTCATTGTGGCCTCTCTGCCACTATTTCTGGATTTTTCGTATTTTTCTTTTTTAGAATATCCTGCAGTATTCTCTGTAGAGTTGAATTGGTGGTTGCATATTCCCCTAGTTCCTCTTTATCCTGGAAGCACATTGTTTTTCCATCAGTTTCCAGGGATAGTTGTGCAGGATATATCAATCTTGGCTGGAGATTGTTATCTTTCAAAGCTTGAATTATTTCCCCCCCACGCTCTTCGTGATTTGATGGTTTGTGCCGAGAAAGCTGCTGTAATTCTGATGGTGTTCCCTTGTAAGTGATCTGTTTCTTGTCTCTGATGGCTTTTAATATTCTGTTCTTGTATTGGATTTCTGGAATTTTAATTATTATATGCCTGGGTGTTGCTCTGTTTGGGTTGTAGGTGGCTGGGGTCCTATATGCTTCATACAACTGAGTATCTTTTCCTTTTGCTAAATTAGGAAAATTCTCCTAGATTATTTCTGTGAGTAGTTTTTGTAGTTCATTTGTTTGTGTCCCTACTTCTTCTTTTATGTTTATGTTTGTATCCCTACTTCTTCTTTATCTTAAGTTATAGATCCTCTTATCATCTTCTAGTCTTTATATTATTGCTGTTTGTTTTTTTGTTATTTTTAAGAAGTTTTTCATTTCATTCTCCCACATTACAAATCTGCTCTCCAGTTCAGATAATCTGTCCTTAGTTTCTTTCAAGCTGTTATGCCAGTTTTCGATAGAGTTTTTAGTTTCCTGGTAATCTCTTTGAACCTGCTTCACATATTCTATGCTTTCTGTATTTTCTCCATCAAACAATTCTCCCCTCTTTTTCTGTTCTTCCATTCCACCATCTGTTTTTTCTTGGGTGGTGCTTAGCATTTTTCTACCTATTCTGCTTATGTCTAGCTTCAGGTCATTAATAACTTCATTCCTGAACTTGTCTATGAGGCTCTGGAGATAGCACTTTATATCTATTGGTCCTGTGTCTGCTGTTGCCTCATTCTCAGGATTGGGGGCCGAGGACCCTTTCTTGTTGCTGCCTCTTCCCATATTCTTTGTTCCTTATATATGCAAGCATATATAGGAGGCCCAGCTTCCTTCCCTGTCAGCCACAGTCACAGTCTGATTGAATTGTGCCGGCTAGGTGTTCCCGCCCACCGCAGAGCACCAGGAAGTTGCAGACTAGGCAGCCTATGTGGGGCCGCCCCTCCAGGTCAATATTCCGTCAGGCGCTGGGACCTGGGCTGTGCTAGCCTACTGGGTCTCAGCCAGCAGCGTCACGTAGGCTAGGCACTGCTCACCAATCCTGCTTGAGAGGGGGATACGTGACTGAAGTCACTGCAGTGCCCTGTTCCCGCATGTCTGCCTGGTCCCAGAATGTCCTCTGTTGGGAGTCTCCTAGACCATGGAAGAGTCCCAGTTTCTTTCACTCACCACAGGTCGATGCACAGCTCCCCGCCCGTCCTGCTTTCAAGAGCTTTAGCGCGTCTCTCTCCCTGCTGAGCCGATGTAGACGCAGTAGCGGCTGCGGGAAACCAAATTGCTGCTTCCAATGGCGCGGGCTCCAGCTTCCACATTCAGGCTTTTCTGTTCCTGTTATAGCACCAGGATTGCATTCACAGTTGGTTTCTCTCAGCCCAGTTTGTTCTTGGGTCAGCAGGGCATATCTCCACTTGCTTATGATTCCTTACTCTGCACCATTCCTGAATTGTAAGCTAGGTCTTTTAGAGAGCCTCTGTAGCTGCTGCTATCTGTCTGCCATGTTCTCCCGGAAGTCCAACCTCTCATCTTTTAATTTATAGGTATCAAGTAGTATGTCTCAACTATGAGAAAGCTGAAAAATAGAGACATGCAATCAACTCTTGAACATTCAGCATTCTAATTTTCATTCAATTATTTCCTTGATTTCAGTATCTATGTTAGAGGACACCAATAAAGAAAGTCTCTAAGGCTCATGTTGTTCAGAAATTGGTCTGGTAGAATAAGGTTCTGGAAGGAGTCAATTTAGTAGTTTAAAAAAAAGTTTAGGGTCCTTACAGATTTTACTTGTTCCTGTATCTGTGAGATCTTCTGGACTGTGCTGTATCCTCTTTATAGAAAAAAGTACCAGTGGCAGAGAAATTCTCTATACCTCTCTGTACAAAGGATTAACCTCTCTGTACAAAGAGTAGTGTGGGGGAAATTAGAGTAGTTCCAGTTTATACTTTGGTGAATTGTAAATTTTAATGTTGGTCTTGTTTAGGGTTTTAAAAAACAATTGTTGGCCTCATATGCTCATCAGGAACCATTCTTTTTGGTATGATTAAGTTGGGATACTTTTCAGAATTAAATATTAATGATAAAGGCATTTTTGGTTTGTGTTTTTAACTTTATAACCTTTTTGGACTAAGAATGAGTATAGTGTAAACCTTTCTATTAATGCCATCTTTTTATTCCAGTCCAGTTATTTGTGCATTACTGAAGAATGCAGGGTATCAATGCCAAGTAAAAAGTAATATTTCATACACATATTTAGTAAAACATTTTAGATATATATGATTTCTATTTCATTGACAGAAGTTAACTAAAAATATGCAAGAAATCTAAATCGAAATAAATTGGTAATGTTGACAATTAAAAATGAAACACTATTTTTAACCTTTTTTCTCCTCTGGATTATAATTCAGCATCTGTGTAGGACTCATATATAAAATGTGTAGGATTCACATATAAAATGATGATTGAAAACATTGTTATTTCTTTAGATTGCAGTAAAACTTACATTTGGTTAAAGTAAAGATTTCATACATACTTTGTTACAAAGGGGAGGAAGATAGCTTTACTACTTTAAGACAGATTAAATTAAAAAAACAAAATTCAAGCATGCCTGTAACCCTAGCAGTCTTTAAAGCTGAGACAGGAGAATTACAAATTCAAGCCCAGGTTGCACAATTTAGTGAGATCCTGTCTTGGAAATAAATATCCAAATACTATGTTAAAAGGATTGGGTATATAACTAAGGAAAAAGGTCTTGAATTCATTTCCCAGTACCATAATACAAGCAAAACACAGAATCTCCTTGAAGAAATTCTAGCATGTCTTTAGAAGAAATTTAATTTCGGTCAACTTTAGTCATAGGCACATATTTTTATCCTGATGAGCATTTTTTCTCTTATCCTTCATTTGTTTGTTTCTTTTAGAGTAAGTGAAGAGAAAGAAGTGACTGAAGAACGACTGAAAGCTGAGCAGGAATCATTTGAAAAGAAGATCAGGCAGTTGGAAGAACAGAATGAACTGATCATAAAAGAAAGGGAAGATATCCTTTTTGAAAACCCTAATTTTTAATGTTCAGAAAGTTTGACTTTTTCATGAGTAAGGTGTAAATTCCAGAGAAATAGTTGTTCTAATTGATAACAGGGAATAAATCTGCATGTGCTGCCATTTCTAGGCAATCAGAGAGACACTAAACAGCATGTGCTGTTGCTTCCTTTGTGCTTGATAAAGCCACCCAGCTGTTCTGCTGCTGCTATTGTGCGGTATAGCACGTATTTGTCAACTGAAAAAGACAATAAGAAATTTGGGCGTTAAAATGTAATGTTGGAACTTTATTAAATTCTATTCCACTACTGTAATTGAGCCGGAACCTACTTGTATTTGGTATTCTTTCTAGTTAAAGCTTTCACAATTTTAAGGAGTTCTACTCTGAAATCATGAAAATAAAAATATGCTTTGTAATGTACAGATATTGTAATAGATAATTGTTTACATTACATGTTAAAACTATCAAACTCATGAAAGAATAACTATTGAGTTTAGAGCTAGAAGTGTTATGTGGGTTTGTATATATACTGCATTGTTTGTTTGAGAGAAAAAAGATTTTAACTTAAAAAATACACTTAGGAGACTTGTGAGTTAAAATGAGCACATTTCTGAACTTCATTTTGAATAGGTAAAATTAATTGTCCTTGGGTGTTTTATGCAGTGGCACTGATGTAGAAGAAAAACAACCATCGCTAAAGTTAGAGTGACTGAGCCGCCAGCAAATTGGTATATGAGTGCCTGAAAAACCTGTTGTCTTTATTGTCAGTATGATCATTAACTTGATAGTTAGATATTATTTCAAAGATTCTGAAAGTGTCAAAAATGATCCTATATTGACAATTACTATGTCTTTGTGAATACTAGAAAAATAGAAACATAATCATAATTAGCTTGAAAAATACAAAACTATAACCATGAAAAATGAGTTCTGAACTTTGTTTTCCAAGTAGTGGGAATGTTTGATAGAAAATTAATATAATCATAATTATCAGACTCAATTCACTGAGTAGAACATTAATAAGGCTTATTTAACCAGTAATTGTAAAGGAATAGATCTGAGATCTGTGTATTTGGATAATCATCACAGCCCTTGCCTGTTTTGATTTTATTGCCCTGGGTTGTCACCTTCAGACCAGTCTGCTTTTCTTTTTTTTTTTTTTTGTCTTTTTCATTTTTATCGGTACCAGGGATCGAACTCATGACTGCCTGCTTGCAAGGCAGGCGCTTATGCCACCGAGCTAAATCCCCAGCCCCCAGTCTGCTTTTCTTACTCTTCTCTCTAGGTTAGAGAGATGCTGTTTAGTCACTTTGCTTAGTACTTTCAAGAACTAGTAGATTAAGAATGATATTTTTTTGGACAACAAAAATTCAACTTATAGGGCCTTTTTTCCACACAAGAACTCTGGAGATAGCCTCTGGCATTAATTTGACAGCTCCAATGTTGGCATGTCTACAGTTCTCCTAGCTTTTCTCTAGTAGGTGCTCTAATTCTAATTCTTATCACACAGAGACAATCAAAAATATACAGCAATGTTTAAATTTTTTAAAAAATTTTTACAGTAAAAAGACATATTGTTGTTAATCCCCCACACATTTCTGTCACTTCAAATAAACTTGTCCCATCATTCTTGCTACTTTTTGAGGTGATTATGGAAGTTCGTATTTCATGTCTTTATGAGATATGATTAAAAAAATACAGTGAATACTCTTGCAGCATGTCAGCCAATGGAAAGGCAGGCATAGAACCTTTATGGTGTGCCTTCATCCACCTTAATCGCTGGATCTGACATCACACAATTTCCACCTCTTCCTCAAAGTCAAAATGACCATCAAATGTAAATACTTTGAATCAAATTCAGGATATTGATGTAGCCAAAAGAGGACTTCTAGAACTGTTTTAGAGCTCTAAGAATAATGGAATATCTGTTTGAAAGGAGGGGGAAATATTTTGAGGGAGATTAACAATATGTTTTTACTGTGGTACATTTTTAAAATGTAAAGATACACTATATTTTGTAATCATACCTTACATTTTCAATGGGACAAGAAGAAAAGGAGGGAGAGGTCCTGACAGTTGTGATTCCTGTTTTGAAAAACAGAGATCCCACTCCACCACCCCTTCTGGGTGTCTTCCCAGAAGAATTAAGAACATCATACACATCACTATTATATGCACCCATGTTTATAACAGCACAATTTATAATAGCTAAGTCTTGGAAACAACTCAAATGCCCATCAACTGAAGAATAGATAAAAAAGGTACATATTTATACAACGGAGTGCTACTCAGCCATAAAGAAGGATAAGCTTGAGACATTTATAGGTAAATGGATGCAATTTGAGACCAGACTTTTAAGTGAAATATATCAGAGTCACATGTGTAAACATTGTATTGTCTCCCTGTGAGAAACTGAAAGAGTAAATAAGGTCTAAAATGTACAGCACATACTGTGAAATGGGAAGAAATTACTTACAAAAACAGTTAGGATGAGCAAAAGGGGAAGGACAGTAGGGAAAAGGGAAAAATGCAAGTTAGTTAAATTATTAGTGTCGCTTAGTTCGTTAAAAATATGGTTTATGCTGATATCAATTGAAGAAATTTTTACGCCTATATCTTTACTCTGAGCAACTGCTTTAAAGATAACAACATGTAATGTTTTAACTATTGTTATTCTATTATTTAGTTATGAAATTTTGTTTTACTTTGTTCCATAAAAAAAAACATGAAAACTTCTTTAGGATATCTCCTACCTGGCCTCTCCTCTAGCTAGTAGTCTTTTATATGATATTTCATATGATAGTTTTCCTGAACTTTATTCTGTGATAATGTAAGCTAAAAAGAATGTTGAGAAAGAATGTTGCTTGTCCAATTTACATAGTGGGAGGTGCTAGAGAAAAGGTGATCAGGAATGACATTAATCCCAACTCCCACATCAAAAGGTAAGAAAATAGAATCCACTTTTTATATGGAAAAGTGTTGATACTTTGACCTTCCTGGGACAAAAAACAGCATAGCATTCTGTGGTACTGAGGCAAGTTGGAGAAAGAAGATAAGCATGATTAATATTAATTTAGAAAGCCTGCCTGTAATTAGAGTGGGTCCTTGTTTGTCTGGTGATACCCTTAAGAAAATTGTGTAGCTGTTTGGAAAAGTTAATATTAATTTCAGTGGACTATAATATTTAGCATCTTGTGGGTCGACTAATACTTTCTGGCGCTGAAGTTCACGAAAGTCTGCATGGCTATGAATGGTTTCTTCTAGCAGGCTCCATGTCAAGATACCCTGGTGATTGTAGTGACACAGTTTTGCATATTTTCTTTATGATTTAGCTCTGAAGTCAGCACACTACTATGGTGGGCTGTATACCTACCCCAATAGGATGCCAACTAAATCTTGTGCCACCCCATCCCTGTGTATTGTTTAAAGTTGATGTGTTCTAGGTTCAAAAAAGTATAGTAGTTGCAAAAAGATCCTCCTGGCCTAAAACATGTAGTATCTGTCCCATTACACAAAATATTTGTTGACCTGTGAACTCTCTTCAGAGTGAAAAAGGGCAGAAAAAGGCTTGTGAATAAAGTCAAAGGCTTAGAATAATGGTACAGTTACAACCTATTTTACACATGGGAAGAAAGGAGTTGGTTTGAGCTTTTATTCTTTATTGGGAATAAAGATTGAAATAAATGTTATATTATTACTAAAAATAAAGTTGTTTAGTAGGTGTAGTTTCTTTAACTGGTACCATTAAAGGCAGGTAGTATTTGTAGAATTTTACTGTCAAAAAAAGAAAAAATAATTTAAATAATGACAACCCTGGTTTTCTTTCTAAGTAGATTATTCGCGTACAAATCTCCATTACCAGAATAAAGCTGTCAAAGGTTAATACAGATGATTTTATAGTACATAAAACTCTATAAAACTTAGAAACATAAAATGAGGTTGTAATTTAAAACAATATAATTTTAACTACAGATTCATTTACCTATCATACATGAATGATTCAGACTCTTTGATATACATGAAATCAGATAATTTCAATTCATTTTAAAGTCAGTTTCAGTGTAAGGAACTATATTCATGAGTTACAATTTTTGATGTTTTAAAGATATAATTTATGGTTTTCTTGTTTTTGAAGTTCTAATAACTCAATTTACTAATCAACTGTTTGCACAGACAAGTGCTTAAGTGAAAAGGAAATGTTACATATTTGCATTAAGATCAGGCTTTTTGAAGGATTTATTCTTATAGAAAATTGGGAGTTTATTAAGACGTAAAACTTCTGGTTAATTTTCAATTCTTAAAAAAAAAGCCTATTTCTTAAGATCTTAACCATGTAAATGAAAAGGCCTTTTACAAGCTGAGCAGTCTAATAAACCTAGTAGATGCTTGCCAGGATGAATGAATATGAAAGGAGCGATAAAACTGATATTTAAAGAAAATCTTTCCAATAATGATAATTCTGAATCATTTTATCATATGAGACAGAGGATGTAGCCATTAGATAAGTTGATTAATATTTAAACTAGTTGTATTTGTAGACCTCTAACTCAGATCAGTGGTTGGATCAAAGCTTATAGAAGGAAAGGAAAGTCAAATGATTTTTGACCTGACAGTATCAACTGGCACTTCAAGGAAAATAACAGTGAAGAAAGCACAGGGGACTTCAAAGTTCTGTTTTTATACTGAGTAGCCTCTTGGGAAAGTTACTGAACTTCTCTGAGATTCTTTTGCATCTGTCATATTCAGATAACTAATAATACCTTATTTTGTTGGCCTGTTGAAATTTTTAAAGATTCATAAAGAATCTAGCAGTGTCTTCTTAGGAGACCCTGAATAAAAGGAAAGAAATGAAGGGAATTAGGGAAAAAAAAACACACACACACACACAAGCATTTCTATCAGTCTGGTTTCTAGGGGAGGAAATTCCCCTTCTGGTTTCTTGCCTTATGTTTCTGGCTGGGACTTGCTAAACTAAATAGATTTAGAATTACTTGGAA